TTTTAATTGGGATTTAAAGGAGGCCAGGGAGGTCAGCATTTGGAACAGAGGAAGAAGCCTGCTCCAGACACAGGAGAAAGCTATGGAGCAGAGAAATGGAGTGTCTTGCTTGTAGTACAGGCAGGAGGCAAGTATCATTGGACCTAATAGTATGCAGTGGGGAGCAAAGCGTGAGAAAACTGGGAAGCAAGGTGCTAGGTTATGAAAGATTTTGAATGTGAAACACAGCATTTTACATTTGATGTTGGAGGCAAGAGGGAGCCACTGGAGTTATAACAGGGCTGACATAATTGGACCTGCACTTTAGGGAAATCACTTTAGTAGCTGAATGGAGGATAGTGTTGCTCTTTATAATAGGGAAAGTAGTGGGAGTGGGAGGGGCTAACTAGAGATACATATAAATGTTACGAATTTTCCTAACTCATAATGTTTCACCTAAAATAAACTCCTTAAAGGTACAGAACAAAGAGGGCATTACGTTGACCCGAGGCTCATGAGCTAATTATTGTAAGGGGACGTTACACTTAGATCACAGAACACAGAATGTCGGTACTAGGAATGTCTTTAGATCACAGAATGTGAGATCTGGGAGGGCCCATAGATCAGAGAATATGGAACGTCAGAGCTGGAAGACACCTTGCCAAATACAATGTTAAGGGTTGGAAGGGTCATATTAGGAATACAGAATATCACTGCTCCAGAGGGACCTGTGACTATACATACGCTGGCCACACTAGAAGAGTCCTCGGCATACAGACAGACAGAGCTGGGAGGGTCTTCAGAACACTGAATATCACTGCTGGAAGGTGTTTGCCTAAGCTCACAGACTGTGCTGGGGATCTTTCCAGTTAGGGAGCAGCTTATCTTAATGGAGTGAACAGCCCCATTAGAAATGTATTTAAGACCAAGTCTATTGCCATAATTCTTTATGATTTTTGATTCTTCAAAGCTAATTAATACCAAACTCTTTCTACAATTTGGTCTGTGGCAACACATGTGGATGTATGTGGTACAATTTCAGTCTACCTAATACTGGAGTGAGGCCCTGCCTGTGATTTTGGTAATAAATGAATAAAAAAGTAAAAATGAATGTTTCCTTAATCAGGTAGCACAAATGAACCTCACAAGTCCAATGGAACTAAGTCCCTACCACTGTGTAACTGACTGGTGCTAGCTGGTTTGGCTTAGTCACTGTAAATGATTGAAGAGGTGAATCATTTAATCAATTTAAATATAAAAGGATAAACAGGCATTGAAGCCCCATCTGCCAAAAAGCCCAACCAGTGAGCCTCAGGATGCTAGCCCCTGGCTTGTTCAAACAACAGGGAGTGGGATAGTGGGGCTCACACTTTTTCCAGGGGAAGTCCAGATCAAGTTAGCCACCTCACCTTTATTGGAGTACATTCTCACTGGAGGCAAAACTTAGTGTCCAAGAAGGCAGCATCAGCTGATTCCAATCTCTGGTTGCCATGTGAATGGTCATTGCCAAGGATACCTGGAATCCTGAGTGGCTGGCACTCAGGTTACCTCCTTATCGGGCCTCCATTATGACCCGTAGGGCAGAAGGAGGGGAGGGCATCCTCCCAGCTTTGTCCTGGACTGCCAGCTGGGAGCAGAGCTAAGTCACCAGGGGCTACAAAATATCACCAGATACCCACACATGCACACACACACATACACACACACACAGACATTTACACTGAGAGAGACAAAGACAGACAAAAATAGAAACAGAGGGAGATAGAAATAGAGAGGGACAAAGAGAGACAGATAGATGTAGAGACAGACATAGGCAGAGACAGACAGGCACTGATGTAGAAAGAGAAATATAGACACTAACTACAGAACAATATGCACAACAAGACACGAAAAGCCAGCAGCTGTTACTATGAGACATGCACCAGGGAAGGGAACAAACATGCTATCCATCACCCTAGGCACCCTGGTGATCTCACTCATCACCTCCTAGCCAGGTGCCAATAAGACTGTCCTGGCCCAAAGACATGAATGAACTCTGAATTTTCCCAAGACACTCTCTGAACTTGAAGGTGGGCTCTGCAGACCACCACAAACCCTTTAAGGACTACAAAGCACCTTTCATGTGCCTTACATGGACTGGCCCTTACAAGATCTCCAGGCAGTGCAAGTAAGATTATCTCCATTTCCCAGATGAAGGTACTGAGGCCCAGGTAGGGGCAGAGGCCTGCCTTGGGGGATCAGGGGTCACACAGCTGGTAGTGAGTGCTTCACCCCACCCCTTGTCTCAGTATTGTCTCCTGACTTATAGAGAGCATGCCCTGGGGGACTTGATTCACTCAGGCTTGGACTCCCTTTCTGGGGCTGAGCTGTCCTGACTGGTGAATGAGCCCACCTTATCTAGCTAGCCCCAGACCAGGCCATGCTGCTGCCCCTCCTAGCCAGCAAGACCCCCCAGCCATCAGTGTCCACAGCTGCCCATCAGCCAAAGAAGAGGCCCTCTGCCTCAGACAGTTTCATGCTTCTCTCTCATGTAACAACTAGCTGTGTGACCTCATCTCTAAGGAATGGGGGGGATTTGAACAGGTCACCTCATCTCTCTGAGCCTCAGTCTTCTCAAGTTTAAGATGGGTTTCTGACACTTGCATGAACTCCCTATTCTAGGGCTGCCATAAGGAAAGGGTTTAGCAATCCTGAAAGCTCTGAGGTAACAGGTAACATCATTGAGATCTTTAAAGTCTGCAAAGCATATTGTGTGTCCATTGATGGGGGTACATTCAGTCAATCCACCAATCAACTGCTCCAGCTCACTTAGCCCCTTTGCTATTGGTATTCAGTAGTGTCTGACTCTTCATGACCCCATTTGGGGTTCTCTTGGCAGAGACACTGGAGTGGTTAGCCATTTCCTTCTCCAGCTCATTTTACAAATGAGGTAAACTCTGAGGTAACAGGTAATATCATTGAGATCTTCAAGGTTTGCAAAGTATCTTATGTGTCAAAGAATGGGGATTGTTGTTCAGTCATGTCTGACTCTTTATGAGCCCATGGACCACAGCACACCAGGCTCTTCTACCCAACACTATCTCTCAAAGTCTGTCTAAGTTCATGTTCATTGTTTCCATGATACTATCTTTCCATCTTATCCTCTGCTGCCCCTTTTCCTTTTGCCTTAACTCTTTCTCAACATCAGGGTCTTTTCCAATGAGTTCTATTTTCTCATTATGTATCCAAAGTATTTAAGCTTCAGCTTCAGTATTTGATCTTTCAGTGAATAGCCTGTATTAATTTTTTTCAGTATTGACTGATTTGACCTCCTTACTGTCCAAGGGACTCTCAAAAGTCTTTCCCCACATCACAACTTTAAAATATTGATTGTGTAGGCTCAGCTTTCTTTATAGTCCAACTGTCATGGCCATACACTGCTACTGGAAAAACCATAGCTTTGACTTATATGGAACTTATCAGCAGGGTGATGTCTCTGCTTTTTAGTATACTGTCCAGATTTGCCATAGCTTTCCTTCCAAGGAGCAAGCATCTTTTAATTTCATGGCTGAAGTTGTCATCTGCAGTGATCTTTGAGCCCAAGAATATAAAATGTGACACTGCTTCCACTTCTTCCTCTATTTGCCAGGAAGTGATCAGACCAGTTATCAAGATCTTAGTTTTTTGATGTTCAGCTTCAAACCAGCTCTTACACTCTCCTCTTTTACTCTCATCAAGAAGCTTCTTAATTCCTCTTCACTTTCCGCCATCAAAGTGGTATCATCTGCATACCTGAGATTGTTGATTTTTCTCCCGGCTACCTCAATTCCAGCTTTTGATTCATCCAGCCTGGCATTTCGCATGATGCACTCTGCATATAAGTTAAATAAATGCTGCCCGCAACCAGATAGTGCACTGAATGGAAAGGTGTGAAATAAGACATAAAGAAGTGGACCAGGCAGAGCAGAAAAACTGACTCAGTTTATTTTTCTGAGGGCACAGGATATATAGAGAAAATCCATCCTAACTTCAAAGAGTCCTCCCATGAGACACTCCTGAAACATCTGCTAAGAATGTGATAACATACATTACCTCCTTATCAGAGTTCCTAGATAGAGTTGTAAATTCCAAGGCTTTTTCCTGGCACCTGTATAGAGGAGCGAATATGTAAATCTAAGGTTCAAAGAGTGAGAAGGAAAGTCTCAGGAACCTCCTAACAGGGAGAGATTGGAGAGCCCATGCTTCTTAATTATTGAGCCCTTTGTGTAAAAGCCTGGGCAGAGGTCAAACTCTGTCCTGGATCTTAAACCCATATCAGACTCTTGAGATCAGCCCTCTACAACCACCTCCCTTTTTGAATTAGCAAGCAGCTTGAGGCGGTAAACATCCATTCCCAACACTGTGACCCTTGATTTAATTAAGATAACAATACAGGGGATAATAACACTGCCCAAGAAAATGCATGAAGTAACAAGGCAGGTAAATTCTTAAATATATTGATTGCACTTAATTTCTCTAAGATCTCTACAGCCAGATTTTTTGGGTTAATCCCTGGGGAGTGACTATCTGCAATCACCTGGGTGGTATTTAGAATTGTGTCAGGCCCCCAATAGGCAGGCACTTGTGTTGTCTCATGAGATATTAGGATCTGAAGCATCACAGGGTAGCAGGATAATGTAAATATATGAATATCTGTAATCACATTGCAATAGCAACCTTGTTTTCAAGGGTTCTAACTTATCTGCTAAATACAATACTGATTGTTCTAATAAATTGACTTTATACAATGTATCAATAGCTTCTTGTGCATTAAGTACTAAACATATTTTTTGCTAAGTCATGTACAAATTATGCAGTTTAGATTTCAGATTGTAGCATAATAGATGAAACAGCAGTAGATACAATAAAAGAAGCAACAATGATTAAACCAATAATAAGGAGACCAATAAATTGTTTTGATTGACTTAAGGAGGAAGTAATAATTTGAAGAACATGTTCACCAGAATTCTGAAACTATTCATATAAAAACATTGGTAGGGAAAATAGCAAATGATGATTGTTCTACCAAAAATACAATATAGTCATTATTATCAATACATTGTTTGAGAGTACAATTGACACAAGTAACATACTATTCAAAAGTAGTATTAGATTGAATAAAAGTTACATATCCATGAGACAAACTGGTATTAAAAACTGATGTCCTGGATGCTAGAGATCTGAGGGCAATTGTAATCTTGACTTTATCCTGGAGATAGGGATCTTCTTGTCTTCCAAATATACAGGTGTTATTAGTGTACGTATAGTCCCAATTTGTCCATATATGTGAGAGGTTGCATCCAGGGTGGAAAAGGAAAAATAAGTCCAGTGCTGAGCAGTCTGTACATTACACACTTGAGCAGAAAGTAAAGCTACTATTACTAAAAATTCAAGTTCAGAGGGGTCTTTTATCACTCAATGAGAGGGAGCTTTCACTGGACCCCATGTGGGAAGGCGACTTGTCACTGTAGATTGGCTCCTTCTGCGCTTTCCCCGAATTCTCATACTCTGTATTCAAGCTGTGAGTTGTTATACATGCTCTGACATCTTTTTCCAGTATCAGGACAGGTTTATCAAAGTTTTCTGAAAAATTATAAGCACACCCTCATCCTCTTGTTAGTAATGGATCAGGGCCTCTGGATGTTTTTAGGCTGGAGTGTACTCATCTTTGTTAATATTTAGAAAATTAATAGCCAATTATAAAAATTAATAGCCAATTATCAAAAGTTAATAACCAATTATCAATGAGGGGTAGTAGCCCAGATTCCCCCCCTTTTTTTGGAAAAGAATAATTTTAATATCTTTGTTTTTAATAATATAAAATGTTTGTGATCAGAGAAATGTTATAAGAAGCATAAAAGATAGAAAATGTTTCGCTAATGGAAGCTCCTCAGCAGCATTATCTGTTTTGATTCGTTTAAGTACACTCATAACTGTGAAGGCTTGTAAAATATGATTGATCACATATTTAATTGTACCACTTGTTTGTAAAGTGGCAAAAATGAAAGAAAAAAGTATCCATTATAACATGAGTATAAGAAAGCTTTTCAAAAGAAGGCATACAGGTTACATTCAATTGTCAAATATGTTTGGGAGAAAAGCCTCTGATACATTTGAAACAGGCTGTTAATTAAAAAAATCATTATTTTTATACTATGTTTCTAATACTGTAGGAGTTTATTTCTTCAAAAATAGTCACAAAATGTTTTCTTCTCTACAGTTAAGGTTGTTGTATTGGCAGAATATAGTTAATAAAAGGCTCAATAAAAGCTTAATAAAAGTTACGTGGCAGCATTGTAGTTAAGAATCAATAATGGCATTGCTTTCAGTATATAATTGTGTATTAGTAATATATTTTAACTTTGCAGTCTCTGTATTCTGAGAGACATAAAAAGATTACTTGTTATCAGAAACAATATTAATAGGCTCATAATATCCCGCCATACCTGTACTTAACCCATCGATGAATGTCATGGGTGCTGAAGGAATGGGGTTAAATCTAACAATCTTTTTGAAATACCTATGAATAATTAGTAAAAAAGGTTAATATCTTAAGAAATGGTAAGTAATTATCAATATCAACGTGGCCAGAAAAAATAGTAATAGCAATTTGCCAATCCTCTAAAGAGGAAACAAGAGTGTCTATTTGTCTTTTATTATAAGGTTGATTAATAACAGAAAGTAAATTTCCTGTAAGTTAAAAATTGTAGGGGACACTGGACTACTAAGAATAGCACCTGGTACCTCTTCATTTAAAAAAATATGGGTGAGTTGAGCTTCAGGAATTTTTCTGTTTGACTAAATAAAGCTCCTTTTTTGCTTCAGGAGTTAATGTTCTAGGGGAATTTAGATTAGGATCTCCTCTAAATGTAAAAAAGAAACAAATTCTGTAGTAATTTGGAATGATGGTCAAAACTAATTAGTATCCTCTAAAAGTTTCTGAAAATTCATTAAGTGCTTCACTGTTGTTTCAGTGACAATATGACCTAGGTAGGAAAATGGGGATTTTTCTTAAGCTTTTTCTGGGGCTATAATAAGCCCATATTCTTATAAAGCTAATTGAGGTTGAGGAAATAAATGTGTGAGTGTTCAGTGGAACAACTACAAAGTATGTCACTATATAGTGTATTATTTTTGCATTGAGAAATTTTTTCCTAATTGGTTGTATAGCTTTATTAACAAAATTTTGACACATTGAAGGGCTGTTTTTCATGCCTTGAGGAAGGACTTTCTATTGAAACCTGGTTGCAGGGTGTTCTGCATTAACACTGGGTATTGTAAAAGCAAAACAACATTTGTCAGCTTCTTGCAGTGGAATAGTTAAAAAGCAGTCTTTTAAATCAATAACTATCAAAGGCTAGGAAACAGAATTCATAATGGGTGAAGGGAGACTTCATTAATAGCTCAGAGGTCATGAAGCATCCTCTATTTCTCTGACTTCATTTTAATAACAAAAACAGGTGAATTCCAAGGATCTGTAAAGAGTTCTATATGTCCTTTTAAAAGTCTTGTTCAACTAATTGTTTTAAAGCAAAAAGCTTCCTTTTTGTCAAAAGCCACTGTTCCACCCAAACAAAATAACAGTTTCCCCTAGATGTAAAATATCGTGCCCCCACAAATTAAAGGGAATTAATTGAGTTTCAGCTATTATTCTACTTAGTTTAAATTCATCTTAAAATAATTGATTAGTGTGATCTACTAGGCAGGCTAAAGCTAATTAATATCTTTAAGAGTTTTTAAAGAATCTTGCGTATTTTGTAATATTTTGGGGGTCGAATTGTGGGCTGTGAAACAATATGTCCAAAGTAAGCAAAGGGTGATTTCTTCTGTGCCTTATCAGGAGTAAGTATAAATCTTTGAGACTGAAGAGCTTGTTAAAGCTCACACATTAATAAGGAAAGTTCGCCAGTAATAGAACAACTGCAAAATTTATCATCCACATAATAAATTATTTTTGTCTCGGAATATTTCTGCCTTACAAGTTTAATAGTGTTATGAACAAAATTTTTGCACATGGTAGAAAACATTCCTTCTTAAAGGAACATAATAGGAAAACTTCAAATACTGATTTAATGGAGACAACTATACTGAAATTCAAACTCAAAACAAAATTAGTTATAGTCCTAAGAGTCTTTTACCTCAAACAGTGAGTTTCACTAATCATGGCTTAAAGCCAGATACAATTAATTTTACTCCCATGCAGTTGTAATAAGTAACAAAGATTTACCAGGACTCACATACATAAGAGATTTCACTTAACATCTTTTCTTTCTCAAATTTAAACTTATCCTGTTCAAAAGCCAATTATTAGAAATCATTTCTATCTATTGTACATACAGTTGCACTTCTCAGCAAGTTAATTCATTGTTTAGGAACTGCATAATCCTAACAAGTTCTTTCTTTCTTTCTTTCTTTCTTTTTTTTTTTTCAGGGCAGATGACCTTGCCCACAACAGATAGTTTCCAGGAGACCTGGAAAATTTACAAAGTAGAGAGAATTGCCTTGTGCCCCTCCTTTTCACTCATAAGTAATTAAAAATTCTAGATGTTACTATTAAAACAGTAACTTAAAATAACTTAATTAACAATCTGGTCATTTTCATAAGTGATAGTCAAATTGTTTTAACTATAAGATGTTCTTTAATTACAGGTAAAGACGGAAATACCTAATTTTCTAACTGACAGGTATAAAACATTATGAGAAAAAATTAACTGGACTTGATAAAATAATTTAGCTGGTTTTTACACAGCTTTCCCACTATATTTCAGTCTTTAATTCACATTTTAATAACATCTAAATTATTAAAAATTGTTTGACATAACACAAAACAATACAAAAGTTTACCAATTTGTAACAATACTAGATTTTTAAAACTTGAAACACATTACTAATCTGAATGAGCTAAATTATCTTTTGATTGTGTTCCAAACACATAAAAAACTTTTCTTTATGATCTGAGGGGGTGCACCCTCCTATTCACTATTCTCATTCTGTCTCTCACACCCCAACTTGGCCAAGGTTGGAATGTGAGAGAAGGGAAGAGAATATTTTCCAATGACTTATCTTGGATAATCTTTCAATTTTACACCCAAAGCTTTGGCCAGAGCTTTAGAATGCAAAAAAGAAAGATAATTTCTTCCTAATAACTCTTCAAAAGTTTTCAAATCTTTTATTCTCAAATCCTCCGTTCATGCTATTAATACAGACAGATTATGCTATTCTTTCTACCCCTACTTCTCTCATTATTGTATGCTTAAATTTTCTTGTCTTTTATCAATCATATAATGCAAATAATAAAATATTTTTTCTCTCTTCTTCTTCCTCTGTTCCTGCCCCTGCATTTACCCTGGGCACTTTTGTTGCTAATGGCACATTCTCTGGAGGAGTGAGACATATTTTTAGCATGTTCCAAAATTCCTGTAGCTGACTATTTGTAATAAATAAACCCCTTTCTGTCACTATTTCCTTGAAAAGTTTTAGATAGCATTCCTTGTCTTTGATTCAGCTTCATGTTTGACCCATACTTTCGATCCCAGGCGCACCTCCCAAAACCAAAAGTAAGTGTGCGTGGCCGTTTCAAAGCAACAGTATTTTTTATGCTCGAGCCCCTTTTCCTTTCTATTCTTATGCTCTATTACCGAGCCTTTACTCTAATCTATTTCTCTACTCTCCCACTTAAGCCTGGTATTTCCTTTGGCCCTAAAACTGCCAAAGGACTGGGTATAAAAACCTTCGCCCTCTTACCTTGTTTCCACAGCGTTGAGCTGCCAAGGACCTTGTTCCACAGTGTAGAGCTGCCAACGGTTTTCTTTTTCTCCGGAGCACTAAGAGGACCACTCTTCTCATACTTCCAAGTCCCTCTTCGGGCTCCAAATGTTGCCAGCAATCAAATAGTGCACCAAATGGAAGAGCATGAAATAAAGAAAGACATGGGCCAGGTGGATCAGTAAAGATTGACTTAGTTTATTCATCTGAGGGTACAGGATATATAGAAAAAAATCTAGCCTAACTTCAAAGAGTCCTCCCCATGAGACACTCCCAAAAACATCTGCTGAGGACATGACAAACATACATTTCCTTGTTATCAGGGTTCCTAGATTGGGTTGTATTTTCCAAGGCTTTCCCATGTGCCTTGGCACCACCTGCATAGAGGAGTAGTATGTAAATCTAAGGTTCAAAGAGTGAGAAGGAATGTCTCAGAAAACCTCCCTTGCAGGAGGAGATTTGGAGAGCCCTGCTTTCTAAACAATTGAGCCCCATGGGTTAAGACTGGGCAAGAGTCAAACTCTGTCCTGGATCTTAAACCCAGATCGGACTCTTGAGAGCCAGCCCTCAACAAGAACAAGGTCTGGTCCTCTCTGAAATTTCAGCTAGGTGTGACAGGAAGTCATTCCTTAAGGGTTGTGGGACTTGCTCATGCAAGGGGGGTTTGTACAAAACCCTGAGACTAGTTTGGGACCAGGGGACTGGAGCCTCTGGATGTTAGGTGGTAGAAGCCTGCAGCCAGGCCCTGGAAAAGGAATGTCTTGGATGGGGAACACAGGTGATAGACAGCATATACCTCAATCTCCTCTGCTTCCTCCTCTTGGGCAGATGAGAACCTTATGAATACCACAGAGCCAGAGGATTTTGACTTTTTATTTGACATCTTAGCATTGTCCCCAGCTGATGGAAGTGTGGAGGACAGATCAGGCACCATGAGGAAAAGTAGATTCAAGTAGCCCAACAGGAGAGATACATCATAATTCAGGGGGACATCCTAGGGGCTCCACAAAAGATTTTCAGTAGCTTAGTGTTATCTTTTAGCTACATGTATTTGCTAAGTGTTAGCCCACTTTCCTCAGGACTCTATGTACTGGTGGGAAGCTGTGTCATGGAACTGGAGGGAGAAGTAGGTTTTCTTATACCAACTATAATACTGCTATAAATACCTATTTCTAAAAGGTAATTAAATCAGGTGGACTAATTGATATCAACTGATGATTATGGGAGAAGCACAGTGTTGGGGCCTCATGAGACATGAATGCCCCTTCCCCCAACCCTTCAGGGATACCTCTAAAACCCTGAGGGGAGATGCAGCAATGGCTCTCTGGGGACTTGACCAGTGTGAGTGGGGGCCTGGAGACTACCTGCAGAGACTGTGCTACTCACAATGTTCATTATCTCATTTGATGCTCCCACTTTCCAAGAAGGTATTACTGTTGCTTTTTTACAGATGAGGAAACTGAGGCTCAAAGAGGTTAGGGGACTCACCCATGGTCACACAGCTGGTAAGTGGCAGAGGTGGGATATGAACTCATATTTCTTCATACCCCAAGTCTAGGGCCATCATTATTTCCACTAAATCATATCGTAGCTTTCCTTTTCCTTTTTTAAACAAAACAAAAAAAGAGATATTTTTACATCAGTCATTTGCTGATATTCCTCTCCCCAATAGAACTGTCTCCTTTAATGAAGAAAAACAGTTAAGCAAAACTGATCCACAACCTGACTATATCTGAATGTGTTTAAAATATTACCTCCCAACCATGGTTTCCTCAGGGAAATCAAAATTTGCCTTCTAAGTCTCCACAAGAAAATGTATAGACTTTAGTTCCCATGTGATCAATCAGGCTGAAAACACAGCAAATATAAGACAGGCTTTATTTTTACCTGGTAGAAAATACAAAGTACAAAGGATTCGTACTTGATCACAGTGCCTGGCATATACACAGCAAACACTTAATAAATGCTTCATTGGTTGAGTCCATACAGAGTCAAGACAACTCTTCTTCCCTCTCCAATGGTCTGATCTATTCCCCCAGGGTCTATCCTTAGGTTGAGGTCTTCCATCCACCAAGGAGAAAGCCCCTGGGATCAGCAGAATCCACCCCTCTCCCTCTGCTGGGGTCCCCCTTCTCAAGGACTTAGATCTCCAGATGGAAGGCACTCACCTCCACCCCCTCCCAAATCATCCTATTTTACTCTCTATTTTACAGGGCTGTGGGGGATAAAGTCCTTTGCAAACCCGAAAGCCTGGAGAGGTGAGAGCTACTTCCAGTCTTACTACTATATATATATATAAATACATATATATATATATATATATATATATATATATGTATGTATGCACACATATATAGAGAGAGAAAGAGAGACAGAGACAGAGAGTACAGTTACTATGTGACAGACACTATGCTAAGTACTTTACAATTATTACCTCATTTGATCCTTGCAACAATCCTAGGATATAGTTACTATTATTATCATATTTTACAGATGGAGGAATGGAGGCAAACAGAGGTTAAGTGACTTGCCAAGGATCACATAGCTAGTAAAGTGTCTGATATTCTATTTGAAATCAGGTCTTCCTGACTTCAAGTTAGTCACTCTATCCACTGAGCCACGTTGCTGTCCCTAGTATGAGGAACACCACAAATAAAGTCTGGTTGGCCACTTATCAGACATACGGTTTCAGTAATGATATCTGAGTTCTTACCTGAGTCTTCAAGGAACTATGACAGTCTCCATAATCCCTGGAAGTCAAACATTATTAACGAGGATTACATATATTTTTCCTGGAATCTTGCACATCTCATTAAAAGGGTCTTAAACTAAAAATGGAGGGAAGAGGGAGGAAAAAAGCATCCTATGTATGTCAGCCAAGTGCAGTAGCATAGCAAGTAGCAGACGTAATCCTGGGAAGCAGAAAAGAACTAGAGAGCCTATAATTCACCAGAGATAATCTCTAAGAAGACAGGCAGAAGTGAAGTCCATGATCCAAGGTAGCCATGCAAAAATGCAAAAAAAATGCAGGTAATAGGGTAATCTAGAGATGATAATATAAGGAGGAAAATTTGGCCTCATATTATAGATGACCCTCAGATACTGACACTGTCACTTTCTTCCCTTTGATATTTTCTTCTCTCCTGGTTTTCCACCTACCCCTGACACTTAACCCCTCTTTCTCAATCACATTTACTGGAATTTCATTCAGGTTACACCCACTAATGGTAGTTGTTTTTCTAAGCATCTGTCCTTGGCCCTCTTCTCTTCTCCCTCTATACTATTTTGCTTGGTGATTCCATCCACATCTATGAATTCAATTATCATCTCTATGCAGATGATTCTGATATCTTTCTAATCTGGCCCTAATCTCTCTCCAGGGCAGGCAGGTGATGCCAAACCTAAAGTCAGGAAGACTCATCTTCCTGAGTTTAAATCCGGCTTCAGATACTTTCTAGCTATGTGACTGACCCTGGGCAAGTCCCTTAACTCTGTTTACCTCAGTCCCTCATTTGTCAGATGAGCTGGAAAAGGAAATGGTAAACCACTCCAGTATCTTTGCCAAGAAAACCCCAAATGGGGTCATGAAGAATCAGACATGGCTGAAAAGACTGAACAACAATCTCTCTCCTGACCCCCAGGCTAGCAACTCCAACTGTCTTTTGGACATCTTGAATTATTTGGCCTGTAGACATCTTAAACTCAAGATTCCAAAACTGAGGCCAGTGTCTTTCCCCCCAGCTTACCTACTTTCCAAATCCAATATTACTGTTGGAGGCAACACCATCCTCACAGTCACCTAGGCTTTCAACCTATTTGTCATCCTGAACTCCTTTCTTACACTTGCCCTGCATGTTGTAATCTCTTGCAAATCCTATTGATTCTACCTTCATAATATTTCTCATATACATCCCCTTCCCTCCTTCCAATGCTGGCACCACCCTGGTGCAGACCCTCATCACCTCATGACTAGACTATGGCAGTATCCTGCTGGTTGGTCTCATTTCCTCCAGTCTCTCCTCTCTCCAATCCCTCCTCCATTCAGCTGTCAACATCATCTTCCTAAACCACAGGATTAGGAAAGATCGTATCACCAACCTATTCAATTAAGTCAAGTGGCTGTATATAATTTCCAAGATCAAGTATAAAATTCTGTTTGGCTTTTAAAGCCTTTAATCACCAAGTCCCTTCCTCCCTGTTCAGTTTCCTTGCAATTTACTCCCTTCCATGGAGTCTAGGCTTCAGTGACACTGACTCCTTTGCTCTTCCTCACACAGAGGAAGCTATTAGACTTCGCTGATATGTGTGAGAGGCTTTTTCCCTCTGTCTTCACTCTATTTTTAGTTTAAGAACCTCCTAATAAGATGTATAAGACTCCAGGTAAACATATATAACCCCTGTTAGCAATGTCTATCTTACAGGGATTATGGAGACTGTTACTGTCCTTTGAAGACCAAGGTAAGAACTCAGCTGCCATTCCTGAAACTCTACATCTCAGACAAGTAATCACTTAGACTTTACTTAAAGGCTTAGAGTGAGAACAAGGGAATGACCCCACCCCCTTGAGCAGCTCATTATAGTTTGAATAGTTGTAAGAGTTAGGATGCTTTTCCTGACATTGAGCCTAATATGCCTCTTGGCAATTTCCCTCATACCCCAACACCACTTGCAGAAAGAGACAAAGTAGAGAGAGAGAGAATTATAGGTCAATATTCCCAAAGATAATAAATATAATAAATCATGTTAATCACATAATTTTAAAAACACACAATTATATCAACAGAGGATGAAGAGGCTTTTGACAAAATTCAGGAGCCTTTCCTCTCAAAAACACTAGAAACATAGGAATAAATGGAACTTTTCTTTGAAAGGAAGATTTATTTAACAAGTTTCTCTTGGCAAAACATGCCTAAAAAGAAATCATAACAAAATGAAAGATTTAAATCAAGGCCTCAGAATTTAATACAAACACCAAGACTAAAATCCTAAAGTATATATGTATTGTGTCTCAAAATTGTCCCCACTAACTTAGAAGTAAAAAGTTTAAAAAATGCCTTACAGGACAGTAAATTGAAACAAACTAGATCAAACATGCCAAAGGTTTCACTTTTGAATCACAAAGCTCCTATATCTGTTATACAAAAAAGCATGTCTCCCAACATGCATCCCAAACAGTGTTACATGTAATGTGACAAAAGAGCAACATTTCACACAAATGAAACTGCTTTAACTTAAATATGCTTAGTGCCTAAGTATAAATCTATAACATAACTACCTTAAGAAAAGCTGGAATTAAAGTTTGACAGTTATAGTCCTTTCTCAACTTGGGTATTATATCTTAGATGAATGTTTTTCTGTGTTGAAAAATAATGAACCTAGGGGCAGCTAGGTGGCTCAATGGATAGAGTACCAGCCCTGGAGTCAGGAGAACCTGAGTTCAAATTTGGCCTCAGACACATAACACTCACTAGCTGTGTGACTCTGGGCAAGTCACTCAACTCTAAATGCCCTCACCAAGAAAAAAAAATAACGAACCTGAAGATTTCGAAATAATCCTGATTTCACTTACAATTAAGCATAAATCAGAAGCTTGTATTACAAAACTGCTAAACTTTGTATTTGTTTGCTTTTCTTTAAAAAAAAAAGTTGAGCAAGAGTCAATGATCAGGATCACATTCCCCATCCATCACTCATACTGAATATGCCAGACATCCCTCTGATTCCGTTCAGACACATAGATGCTCAGCTCTCACTACTGTAGCAGCTGCTATCCATCATGCCTTGGCTGTAAAACTTGGTCATATCCACTCATGTGGCTTTTGACCACCACAGTCTTCTCCACAACCCCAAATCAGTTGCTGGCTCGCTGAACCACCATAACTGGACTAGTTTTACGAGCTCATACCTCTCATCATTTAGCTACCATAAGCACCACCACTTACTCCTGCTAGAGAATTCAAGAAGAGTTCTACACATCTAGGCTGCATATTTGCTTTGTCGTTTGATATATTTGCCACAGCATCTTTATGAGTAGTAAATTCAACATCTGCTTCTCCAGTCAGTCTGCTATGAGGTCTGATTTCAATGTGCATCCAGACAGGGTTGAGTGATGAAAAGAATTTGTAAAAAGCATTTTCAGTAGCTCTGTAAGGTACTCCTCTCATATGTACACGATGGCCTGTTGTACTCTGGAAAGTGGACTCACCACCTCCCTATCTATGATGAAACATTACTGAAAATTGTCATTGAGGTCTCTTCCAAATTTATCCTACCCAAAGCCACACCCACCATTATATATATTTTAGTCATCATACCCTCCATACTGCCCCCGCCCAGGAGCCATGCCTCATTTTTTCAAACCCAGCTCCCTTACCAATGCTGTAATAGCTTCTGCCAGCCTCAGGCCTGTTGTAAGGACCTGGCTGCTGGGTAGCCATTAGTTTTCAAGGACAATTATAATAAATACGAATTTCTGCCCAGCTGTTCTTGAAGATTTCAATGTACCTGTGCCATATTCTCTCCTTCTGTTTCTTTACAGCCTTTCTGACTATTTCCTGTGAAGCACACTGCACAAAGGCCTCCTCTGTACTCCTCCTCTGGAAGTCCAAGAGCAACATTACCCAACTTTGCACAATTTCCTACTCTGAACAAAACTGAACAATTTCTTCCTTGCTACAACCAAATGGGAATCATTCAAGGCACCCAAAGTTAGCATTAACAGTGCCAGGACTATTTGGACCAGTATGCATCAACACCCAATTGATTTCAATTCGTTTGACTCGAATACTTCAACATATCTGTGTCCCATAGTTTCTCTGTCTTTTTTCAGTGCCAATTTGTCT